AAGATGGAGTATAGTAGCTTCATGTCTTGTTTTGTTATTTACTTTTGGAGTCTATCTTTTGTGAATCACATGCTTTGTAAACACTTTAATATTAATGCAATGGTTGTTTGTTACTTTGATTACTATGATGCATGTGTTGTGGTACTACAAATGACGTCCTCCGCCCCCGAACGTTTCTGTCGTTCCGGTTTGGGGGTGTGACAGAACACAGCCGGTGACATTGTTACCACCTACACATGCTATGATTATACTTCTGGATTCATCCGTCGTTGCAATCTTACTGATTTGGAGGTACTAATTTTGATTTCTACTACCAAACTTTCTTATAATTCGTCAACATTTAGGATCTTTACCCTAATTAAAAGAAAATTTTGTATGGAATCATATTGATTAGTTTTGTTTTGCAGCATGATACAATTATATTGCAACTATTTTTTAAAAGTATATAAACATTATATCATCCTACTTTGCAAATCTGCAATAGGATTCCAACATTTGACTTTACCGGTTAGACTTTGGCCAAAAAGTTACTTCTTCATCTCTTAATGTTTGGCTTAAGCCACTGAGTTTGTTATTCCACAAACAAGATTTTATAACAATAATTTTTTTAATTGTTCGTAACAAACTATGTTGACCAAGTCTATTATTGTCAATTTATTTTAAGTTTAAATAACAAACTATGTTGACCAAGTCTATTATTGTCAATTTGTTTAAAGTTTAAAGGTAATCTCCTTAATCTTTGGGTTAAGCCACTGAGTTTGTTATTCCACAAACAAGATTTTATATCAATAATTTTTTTTATTGTTCGTAACAAACTATGTTGACCTACTCTATTATTGTCAATTTGTTTTAAACTTAAATAACAAACTATGTTGACATGTGGTCTGTTGGCTCCATATTTGGTACTCATTCTTTCTGAATTAATTAAGTTCGTTATGTATTAAGTCAAAAAAACACTAATGTGTTCTTCAAATTTGAAGACATCAGTAGTCAGAACACAGTCGATGACATTGTTACCACCTACACATACTATGATTACATTGCAATCTTTCTGATTTGGAGGTACTAATTTTGATTTCTACTACCAAACTTTATTATAATTCGTCAATATTTAGGATCTTTACCCTAATTAAAAGAAACTTTTGTTTGGAATCATATTGATTAGTTCTGTTTTGCAGCATGATACAATTATATTTCAACTATTTTTTATAAGTATATATACACATTATATCATCCTACTTTTGCAAATCTGCAATAGGATCCCAATATTTGACTTTACCGGTTAGAATTTGGCCAAAGAGTTACTTCTTCATCCCTTAATCTTTGGCTTAAGCCACTAAGTTTGTTATTCCACAAACAAGATTTTATAACAATAATTTTTTTAATTGTTCGTAACAAACTATGTTGACTAAGTCTATTATTGTCAAATTGTTTTAAGTTTAAATAACAAACTATGTTGACAAAGTCTATTATTTTCAATTTGTTTTAAGTTTAAAGATAATCTCCTTAATCTTTGGCTTAAGCCACTGAGTTTGTTATTCCACAAACAAGATTTTATAACAATAATTTTTTTTACTGTTCGTAACAATCTATGTTGACCAAGTCTATTATTGTCAATTTGTTTTAAACTTAAATAACAAACTATATTGACCAAATATATTATTGTCAATTTGTTTTAAGTTTAAAGGTAATTTCCTTATGCCCAAGGGTATAATTGTCAACACGAGCATATACTCTACAAAAATTAATTTTTTTCATGAATCTTATATTCTTATTTATGCTGATTATCATTCCAATTATACCGTCAATGATAAACACTTTCCAAAATAATTATATGTATATTTATCATGTTTCAATACATAGAATCCAGACATTTATGATTAAATCGTTTAATAAGGAAATATTATCTTTAAATCTTTTCAAATTCATGTACCCTTATCAATTTTAAATCCGGTCATGTAATTATATCTTATTAATTATGGATGTAAATCATATATTTTTATAACTATTTTAACTTAATATAATATTAGGACTCATGTTTTCCAATTATACCCTTCTCCATATTTTGTTATGATATATAGATATAGATATCTTATAAAATCACTGTTTACCATTCTATATATCATTATTAACCCTATATAATATTACATATCATACAAATCACGAAAAAAATTGTTTCTTCAACCTCTTAATCACGAAAAAAATTGTTTCTTCAACCTCTCTTTAGACTCGTTGTTGCCTACTTCCATCATCCATCATCCATAACAGGTTTCATTATCCTCTGTAATGTTTGTTTTTGTTGTTATATTATGAATCATGTATGGAATGGTGTTTTAAATATGTTTATCATGTATGCAAACTGCTTTATTTTTTCCTTTCTTTCGTGTTCAAATATTTAATAATTCTAACTCTTCTTAATTCACATTCTGTCACCGAACTTCCTTTGTCGAATGCTATTTGATTTCCGTCTTTATTGAATTGAAAACTGTTTTTTTGGTGAAGGTGTGGTTTACACTTTTTCCTTCATTAAAACGACAATCATGACAGCAACAATCGTTGTCAAGGTGCATAAAACCAACATGCTGGAATATATCGATGTATTAGGCAACAATGTTTACAAATAATATGGACCATTTATGTTACAATCTCCTAAATGAACATGTATTCAATATATTCTGCCACATGGATCATAATATAATTTCACTTTCAATGTTGTCCCATATTATCATTAATAACAATTATATTTCAACTATTTTTTAAAAGTAAATACACATTATATCATCCTACGGCAAATCTGCAATAGGATCCCAATATTTGACTTTACCGCTTAGACTTTGGCCTAAAAGCTACTTCTTCATGCCTTAATCTTTGACTTAAGCCACTGAGTTTGTTATTCCACAAACAAGATTTTATAACAATAATTTTTT